AGAGAGACCTAGATAATGCTTTTTTCAAGAGTCTATTTAAAGCAAATTCCGCTTAACAACACATTGCATGTGAGTTTTTAAAGAGAAACAAATAGTAACATTCCAATTTCATTGTCATTATCATTTACAGTAATATAATAATATGTGATGGTCCCTATCAGTTCACTGTGCAGGAGAATTTTCACTTTTAAAACACCTGAGGCGTATTTAAAGAAAATCAATGGATAAATGTAACTCTTTCTATGAGCAATTCAATTTTTGCAAGCACAAAGTGCCTGCTATATATGCAATAAGTTTCCCATTCCTCTCCAAATTAACACATTAAATAAAGATGTAAGCATTGCTTAAACATGTACTTCAATAATAATGTTTTTTTTTTAAAAAAATCCACCCAGTATTAGTCGAAATGAAATGTAAAAAAGGCACGCAGTCTATGCAATCTAAATTTGCATCTCCCTGCACTAACAGGAATAAAGACTTGGAAAGCACATAATTCAAAACATCAGTCTCTTAAAAGAGAAGGCTGTGTATGAAGACATTGCTAGCTTGGTGATTTTATAAAAGTGGTAAAAAAGGATATTTTCTGACCGCTAAAGATTTCAGCTTAGGTCAAAAAGTGAGAAATTGCCTGCAAGAGCTTTTTTCTTCTTCTCTGTATTTGACAAAATCCTGCTGAACCGCCTAACAAAGATTGAAGGAGAAGGAGAACCAGCAACTGCAGTCGCCTTTTGAGATCTTGATCTGAAGATAAAGACATCATTCACAAAAGAAGAAAGAAAACTGAGAAGGATAATCACAAGCGCAACTATGAATGGCAACACTTTGGCTGTTCTTACACTGATTTGTCTGTTCTGCTCTGTTTTTCCTTCCTATGCGATATCTCTTAAGACTGCAGGGTAATTTTGTGGGGGGAGAGAGTAAAGGGTAAGGTATTCAAAAGGTAGATAACAGAAACGGGGTCTAGGACAACTCATCGTGGCCAACTCTCTGTGGGAAAATTCTCTGTGGGAAAATTCAAAGCCATATTAATTGTTTCATTCAGTTTCTTTGATTATCGGTCACCAAGTTTTCATTCAAATTATTGCAATGCAATTTCTGGATTGACTTCCTTTATTATGTTATTATTAGTGGCGGGGTAGGATTCAAAAATCCCAACAACTGGTTCTCTGCCCGGTTACTGGGTGGGCGTAGCATGGTGGGCGTGGCCTACCGGAACTTCTGGGGGGGGGGCATTTTTCATCCTCTTAGAGCCTCTGCGTGGACCCTGCACTTACCTACATCCCAAACAGGCCATGTGGAGATTTCTGGGAAGGGCGGGGTGGGGTGAGCGGGGCCAGCCAGTCAGTTCAACTGCCAGTTCGGCAAAACAGATATAAATTTAATACCCAGTTAACTTAAACTGGCCCGACCAGGATGAATCCCACCCCGATGAATTGCCATGGTTCTGTCGGAATTAATGCAACTTTTGTATTTGTTGAATTGTCCTGCAGTATGTTGGCTGTGGTGAGTTGGGTGAGCCAAGTTATTCCGTTCTGGCAAAAATGGATCACGCCATCTTTACCCCAGTTGTAAATGATCTTTCCTTTGGCACCGGTGATTCCTTATTGGTTGAGACTACTGAATGCACATTCTGGCAAAAGATCTTCTTCCACATTGCTCCCTTATCGTGGAAGGCACATTTTCTGGACTGATAATCAACAAGTACTCTGTCCATGACATGGTATGTGGAAATGACCTTGCACTAATCTGGGTGTCTGAAAAATAATCCAGAATTTTTTTTTTTTTTTTAACAGAGATATAAGTATTTCCTGAACCACCGCCACCCTGGTTTGGACAATGAAAAAAATAATAATTATGCAAGTTAAATCTTCTCCATCACTAATGTGGACATAATCATATTTATTTTCCTCATTCTCATCCCATCCTCATTCACCCACTTTTTTAAAAAAAAATTCTCAGAAAGAATTACTTACAATTTGCTGACTGGATTGAATGACTATATTCCAGCCTGAATTGAAATAAAGTGTGTTTTTTTTTTTTTTTGGTCTGCTTTGTTCCCCTGGCAAATTTCATGTACAATGAAGAGAACATTTACAGCTAACTGGTAAATAAGTAAGAAGAAGAAGAAGAAAAACCTCTTTATATTCTCTACATTTATTTGCTGGAGGGTGAAAAGGAATATGCACCACGACCCTGCTTACATTTTTAAATAATCAAGGTTGGGAAAAGAGATTTTCACTTTTACTTAGGCAAAATATGATAATTTTGTTTCACTTTTCAGCAGGAATTAGAAATACACGGGTTACTGAAGAAGCCCAAAGGCAACCTCTTTAACTAGGTTTGCATATTTGTTCCATTGATTTATATAACCAGATTGGGTTGCAGACAACTGCAAAAATTACATTGTTCTTGAGTAATAGCAATATTTAAAAAAAGTTCTCAGTGTAGTCCAATGGACAATAAGAAAAATATTGATGAGACTGCTTAAAATCTTAAATTTGCAGGCGTTTCAACAATGAACCATCCTTTATTTTGTTTTATCAGACTGCTCACTCTACCCACCAGATTCAAAAAATTATATCAATTGACAAAGGAGGACACAATTCTTATTTGCTGAAGAAATGCACCTTTTCTCCAAAAGCAAGGCCTTTGAGAAGACTTTAATGGTGGCGCAGAAGATAGAATGCTGCATTGCAGGCTATTTCTGCTGCCAGCAATTCTACAGTTCATTTTTGACCGGCTTAAGGTCGACTCAGCCTTCCATCCTTCCGAGGTGGGTAAAATGAGGACCCAGATTGTTGGGGACAAGAGGCTGACTCTGTAAATCACTTAGAGAGGACTGTAAAGCACTGTGAAGCAGTATATAAATCTAAGTGCTATTGCGATTAATTCTGATATTGAATATTTTTGAAAAACTTGAGCCTTAAAAGGCCTTGATGGGGCCTCAAATGTCCACAATCTTCGCAACATCTTTGACGGGACCTATTGACCCGATCAGATCAACAGGTTAATATCTTGAGGCTGAAAACAAATGGCAATTGCATACTTTGTGTTCTCTCTAACAATGATTGTTTCCGTCTCTTTTCATTTCTTAATCCGAGGCAACGAACAGCCGTTTGTCCTCCCTTCTCCCTCAAATTAATATCAATAACTGTGCTTTAATTATTGTCCCAGTTTCACTCCATTGCAATCTGCTGGGTCATCACAAATGGCCTAATCAAATGTGGCTGAAACAGCATGTTCCTTCTCTCCAGGTAAAAGCATCAGGGAAAAGAAGAAATCAGCAACCCAAGAGAAGGCTGTAAAGCACTGTAAAGCGGTATATACAGGGATGGGCTGCTGGGGGCTTGCAGGGTTAAGGAGAGCCCCCAGTTAGGATTCTGCGCAGTTCAGAGAGCCTCCAAATCCCACTCCTGGGTGGCCCCACCCAGCCACCCCCTCCCCTCCCAGTACAAAACAGGAAAGTCACCTTAAGAAGCAATCTTTGGGAACTCAATAAGTGGAGTTTAGCTCCAGCAGCCAACAATATCCTTAAGAGTATATGCACTGTACACCACATCAACTGGGGAATATAGAAAATCCAGCAAGTTTTGCACCGTTGCTTCAGTCCTAGAGATGACGTATTAAGAAAGGCAGGGAGAGTAAATGTCAGAGGAGAGATTGTTCATCCCCTAGCAACTGCTCACGGTTGCAGAAAGCTTGAAAAACACACCTCAAAAACAAAAAAATAATAATTAGTTTAGGAATCGAGGTGAGGCACAAATTCATGCCCAAAATGTGGTCCAACAATTAGCAAACCCTTCAGCACTTTTAAGGCTCAAGAATGTCTAATAGTCCATAACTTACCAAAGGGAACTTCTTTTTAAAAAATGTCACTGCCAACTAGAGGTTGTCCTCAACTTGCAACTATTAGTGACTGTTCAAAATTACAACGGCACTAAAAAAAAGATGACTTATGACCACTTTTTATGCTTATAATCGTTGCAACATCCCAAATCTGCGGAAGTCAGATTCATTGAACAACCATGTTACCAATTTAACTATTGCAGTGATTTGCTTAACAACGGTGGTAAGATTGTAAAATGGAGCAAAGCTCACTCGACAAAGCTCTCACTTAGCAACAGAAATTTTGGGCTCAAGTCTGGTCATAAGTCAAGGACTATTTGTACATCTTCTTTTTCATTGTAAGATGTTCTAGAGAAGGTTCTCCTAACCTTCCTAGTTAAAAAAGTCTAATCCTTAAAATCCAGTTTTTTTCTGATCTTTTTGAGTTTCTTCATCCATAAAAGCCCCTCACAAAACAGCAAACACAGTGTCCTTTTCAAACTTCCTTAGTACCTGGATGAAACCTCTCAAGTGTACAAAGCAGGGTTAAAAGCTTCATGGACCATTTGGTCTCCACTTCTCAACCTGCCAAATTTACAATGCATAGTACATCAGCGCCAACATTTTAATTTGACACCTGTCTTATTGAAATGAATCTTTGGCTATCCACTTCATCCAGATTACAAACATCACAGTTCCAAAGCAAAAATCTGGGGCCAAACTCCAAAGTTCAGTGCACTCAAGAAATAGCATATGTCCACATTTCATCCAGCTTTAAATCAAGTTCTTCCGCCGTGGTTCTATATTGCCAAAATGAAAACAGATAATTGAATTCCAACAACTACGTGGCTCAGGATGAAGGTCTTCTTATTCTTATTCCCCAAGTCCATGTTGATATTCACTACAGCCAACCATTTAAGTACACAAGCATTTCAAAACACTCAGAAAGCGAAAGCCACAGCAAAGGTCAAAGTTTGCATGCATACAGAATTAGGAAACGTTTCTTAAAAATTAAAAAGCTGTCACTCTACGGCATAACTCAAGTAGAAACCACAGAGGACCACTTGTTACAAGGACATTCCAAATGAGATAGGAACACCCAGATTCAGAGAGAGAGAGAGAGAGAGAGAAAGAGAGAGTGAGAGAGAGAGAGATATGAAAATAAGATTTCTTACAATTCAGAATTGGTTGGCCCACTGTGAATGCGGACGAATGTTCAATGTGAAAAACCTTTTGCTGAAATCCCGGAGTGCATTCTAAATCCTTTGTGTACGTAGGGAGCAGCACCTGGAAAAGCAAAGAAAGAGAGTTTTCATATCTGCTAGTTCACCTTTGATGCCAGCTCTTGCAAATAGTATCATGGCTGGATTCAACCTTTGTGAGATGAGAAGTGGTCCCGTCCTTTTAAAATTTGCTCAGTATTTTCTATGCCTTGGGGCATAGAAAGGCATTTCACATGAACTGAAAGAGAGAAGGACATTTCTTATGTTGGGAAGGTAACAAATTATATCAATGAACATCTGTCAGGCGTGAAAGACCAGGTCTACATGTGAAGGTCCAATTAAACTGATTTATTGCTGAACAGCCCCCGCATAGGAATCTTCTCAACTAACAGTTAGCACCTGCTTGGAGTTAGATAAGGGTCAAGAGAATTCCACAGAAGTTGGACTTAAGCTGCTTGTGATCACTTAGGGGATTCTAGGCTGATCCATCCTTTAACTCTGCCCCCAGTTCTGCCACTCCTTTTCCAATAACATCTGAAGATATTCCACTGGCCAAAATATGCAGGGGAGATGCCTTCTTTGCCCACCACTGTTAGAGATGTTCATTACCTATAAAAAATTCATAGAACATGAACTTTCAGTTTGTGGACTTATAGTTCTAACAACATCAGGTGTGCCCAGAGCGGGAAGGGGAAAATTTTCAGAAGTCAAGCTGAGCTCGTAAAAAAATAATAATTGCGAATTAAATTCATCTTGGAAAGACAACTCAAATTAGTCAGTATAAGCTGCCAGCCCCTACCATCACCAGGCTTTGAAAATTGGTTTCTTTCGATGAAACGCCAACCAAAATCACCCAGCAGCCTTCTTGTGGTTCATTTGTGGCGAACCATATTAATAAAGCATGGTTGATATCTCTCCTTTCATTTCCCCAAGTCTACATCCAGAGACTATAGAAGCTTTTTCTGTCAAACTGATGAGATAGCAAAGAAGGAAAGCGGAGACAAAGAGTGCTTAATGACAAGACACATTGGCAAGCTCAGAATCAGCAGATGGACCCATTTCTCATCATTAATGGTGTGTGCCAAAATTTGTTCTTTTGTTCAAGTGATCAACTTGAGAAAAGGAAAGAGTTCACAAGGTTTACTCCTTCCATAAAACGCTGACTTAAGCTTGTAATGACTAATTTGGTTTCCTGTCCTATTCTGCAAGTCATCACAGCTCCATCCGTAACTACCAACCATAAAGAATCGCCATAAAAATGTGGATGATACAATAGAAACTGAGGAGAAAAGTCTAAAAAAGCAGAGGAGGTGAAAAAATGAATTTATCTGGATTTCAGTTTTGCATGATCTGAATGACTGTTTGGAATTCTGAAATGGAATTGGGATAAAGATCTTAACCCCAGGAACGAAATTAGATGCAAATCCGAAACATTGCAGAACAAGAATATTGTACAATCCAATAAGCGATTAGTATCCTCTGCATTAGACCAGATAAAAAGACAATCAAACAAGTTAGGGAGATCCCACTCTAATATACTCATTAATAAATGAGGACCAAGGTGAAAAAGAATAACTAAATAAAATAAATAATAAATAATCCCGTTTCTAAGTTTTGGTAACCTAATCTTTTGCCCAATGCAATGGACACTAAAAAATGGTAACAATTTCCTCTATTGTGTCATGTACAGTTCTAGGGCATAGTGCTTATCTCCATTTCTTGACCAAGGGAGCCTGTGTTGTCCAAAGACATTTCCATGTTCATGTGGCCAGCATGGCTATACACCAAAGTCATGCAGAATGCTATTACCTTCCCACCGAAGTGGTATCTATTTATCTACTTGCATCTGCATGCTTTCGAACTGCTAGGTGGGTAGGAGCTGGAGCAAGGAACAGGAGCTTACCCTGTCCAATGGTGCTCAGGTTTCAAACCTTTCCAGCTGATGAACTCAATGTCTTTAGCCACCTACTGTGACCTCCGAGAATCTATTTTGACAGTGATCTGCTATAAACCCTCCGGGATTACTTTGAAATGAGATGGCCAGCAAATACACTTAATAAATAAACAAGCAACTTGGCCAAAGCCAACACACAGGGAGTCCTCCATTGTTCCATTTTGTTTTCCAAGTTTTACAAAGCAGCAGACAGATACGTTTCGCCGTAATATTTAGCCCCTTCCATTCATTTGCACCTTCTTTGGAGGCTTACACCAGCAGTGTGTTAATAAAACTGATGGGGAAATTGCATGTGTGATTGTAAACCTCATTCTGTAACAAATTATCCTTGTGTTTTTCTCAAGCGCAGCTTTTTATGAAGAAGATGAGACTCTATGCACATGCTCCACAAAAGATGATTAATTAACAGCACTTTTACCTAGACCCGAGTGTGCATGTGCGTGTGTGTGTGTGTGTGTGTGTGTGCGTGTGTGCATACGCACTCATGTGCACGTGCAAGGAATGAAAACACAAGCCAGAAATGGTGCTGGGGAAAACCAGTGCATCTGGAGGAAAGTAACCTATTTAATTTAAATTTTGCACAGAGCCAGATGAATGTTGCTAAGGGTTCACAGCAGAGCTCAAGGAAGGAAATAAACAGAGACAATAACTCACATATTACTTCATAGAAGGTATGTAAGTTCAGCTCAGTAACTAACCTATCATTCCTTCTCTGGGGAGTAATTACAAGTTGCTAGCCCAGCCTTCAGATGAAGTGGAGGTTTTCCTGTTAGCCATGCAATTTCCAATGCTTTCTTTTCCTCTCGATATTAAACTAGTTGTCATCCTCAACCACACATGGGTCTTTTTTATTATTATCAATTATCTTTCTAAACCACAGAGCACCTTGTACATTCTCTTTCTGCCTGGTAGGAAATTTTTTTTTTTTTTTTATGAAAACTAAATGGCTACTTTATTAGAAGTAAAGGGCTACTTGTCTCCTTTAAGTGTCGGCTTTGAAAAGTTTATGGTTCCAAAAAAAGTACAAACTTGTCTTTACAAAGAAGAGTGAAAAACAATACTCTTAGATCTATAACCATCTCTTGGTTGATTCAGCCCGTACAAGAGGTGAATGTAATGGAAGGCAATAAAACATTCTTTATTGCAGTTGTCCGCACTCTGCCACCTTTCAAATATGCTGGAAGAGTAACTGTCCATATTTCTACCTCGGGTGAATCACTGAAAAGACAATGCTGGCTGTGGGATCATGGGAGCTTCAAATCCAGCCTAGTTGGAAATTCTGGCTGGGGAGATGTTTTTCTGGACAGGTAGCCCTTCACTTTGTTTAGTAACTGTTGGAAGTTACAATAACTCTCCTCCTAAAGATACTTAAGACTTAGATTCAAAGTTCTGATGGCCTTCGTTAACAATTAATCAGTGGAACAACTTGTCTCCAGAAGTTATACTAGAGGTGTTTAAGAAGAGATTGGTATGTGGTCTCCTGCTTGACCAGGGGGTTGGACTAGAAGGCCTCCAAGGCTCCTTCCAACTCTGTTATTCTATTCTATTCTAGCTTGCCATGGCCAACTCAACAAAGAACAAGAGTTTTTAATGATGGCTGTAAGTCAAGGACTTCCTGTACCTCCTCTGACACAAAATAAAACCAATACACTGATTTGGGAAAAGGAGATTCACAGCTTATTCAACTAATTGGGCATGAAATCCCTTTGGACACATCAAGTCAAGCTTTTCCAGGTAGAAAATCAGGAATCCCAAATTCCTGAGCAACAGGAAGATCATTGTCTCGGCAGGAAACAGGAAGTCCTATAAGGACCCTTCTATTCCCCCTGCTGAGCACGTGCTTTACCTTGCATTATTAGCTTTCTACCACTTAGAAGACAAGTTGGTGTCTGATATTATAGACACCAGGGCCCATCCTGCCAGCCGAGTCGTTGCTTAGACGACTAGGAATAAAGCTTAAAAAAAAAAAAAAGCTTCTGGATTCCAGGTTAACCTTCTACTGATGAAAGAAAGCAGACAAATGGAGAGAAGACGGTTGGTCAACTATGGAAGAGAGACGCACTCAAGGCAGAACCATTGAAGCTTTCTCCAAGCCCAGAACTGGGACTGATACTCGATCATTTCCAAAATGGTTTCCTCTAAATCAAAGGCTTTAAAAGCTGCAGAAGTAACAAAGGTAACATTTGCTACCCCTAGAGATAAACAGGATTTCAGAATTGGCAGTCTTCTAGTTTAAACTTCTGGTCAAAGTGGGAGACCCTCTACAACAGGGGTCGCCAACCTTTTGTACCTCAGGGACCACCAAACTCATAATTTTAAATCCCGTGGACCAGAGACCCTGGGAAAGTCCCCCCAAAAGTCTGCGGGAAAATTCCCCACCCCGTTTTCCTACCGATTGGTCATTCTTTATTTGGGATCGCAGGATACCATCTCCAGCTCCATTCTTGGGGGTGGGGGGGAGAGACTTTTGGCTTCATGCAAGGAAAGCAGCAGAAGCAGCAGAAGTCTTTCTTTCTCTTCCCCAAACTCTGCCAGAAATGAGTCTTTGTTGGCGCAGCCTCTTGGAGCAGGGGGCCTTGCAGGGTCCCAAAGACTCATTTCTGGCGGAGTTTGGGGGAGAGAAAGAAAGACTTCTGCTGCTTCTGCTGCTTTCCTTGCATGAAGCCAAAAGCAGAAAAAGAAAGAAGTGGAAAGAAGCAGCCCAGTGGACAGGACAGGCATGTGGGGAGAGTGGGGGCAAGTTCCCCCTTCCCCCCCCCACTACCTCATGTTGTTCACAATGCCAGGTACACAACCCTTGTGTTCCCCTGGATCATGTGGGCGGCACAGCCTTGTGTTCCCGCGCAGCCTGGATTAATTGCTTTTGGGGGTACATTTGGGGTGACATTTCTCTGCAGACCACAAAAACATTCTCATGGACCACCAGTGGTCCCTGTCCCACTGGTTGGTGACCACTGATCTACAACATTCCAAGAACGTTGGAAAAAAAAACCCCATAGAACATAGAATGACAAAGCTGGAAGGGAACTTCTACTCCAACTTCCTGTCCAAAACCATCCTAATCAAATGGTTGTCCAATCTATTTTTGAAAAAACCCACCTCCAGGAGGC